AAATACAGAGCCTAGAGAGCACCATGACAAAAGGGCTTCCGGCTCTTGTTGTGGGAAGCTAGTGAGTGGAAGGAAACATGAAGGAGGCTTATGGGGCACCAGGGTCTGCTTCTTGCTCTAAATGCTGATTAAACAAATATACTCTATTTGAGAAAATCCGCTGAACTGTACACCTATGATTTGATTATTTTTTTCAGTATATATACTGAAAAAAAATTTTAGGATGGAGGGGAGGAGGGAAAAATTTTTTTTTATAATGAGGAAAAGGAAAAAGTCACCAGACCCAGGTAATTCTATAGGAGAATTCTGCTAAACCTTTAAAGGTCAAATAATTCCAATACTACTTAAAATTATTCCAGCATATAATGAAAGGAAACTTTCAAAAGTATTTTTATGAAGTATAACACTGACTCTGAAACATGCCAAACATTGCATCCAAAAATAAAATTACAGACCAATCTCATTTATGAATATCAATCATAAAATCTTAAAATATAAGCAAGCAGAATCCAATATTAGTTTAAAAAAATGAAACATCACATCTAGGTAAGAGTTATTCTGTGAATTCAAACCTGGTTCAATATTGGCAACATAGTAAGATTTGCCAAATTTAACACCCATTTATATTTTTTAAAATCCAATAAAATAGTGATTAATGGATGCTCCCTTAATATAAGTCTATGTAGCATATATTATATAAATGTTATATATATAAATTATATATGTATGATACATATATAAAATATATTTTTCTACAGAACACAACATTTTACTTAATGAGGAATATCTAAAAGCTTCTCCACCAATGTCAGGAACAAGAATCAAAAAAGACAAGGATGCCTCACATTGCCATTCTATATTTATCATTTTATCGAAAATATAAGCCAATTCAATTAGACAAAAGAAAGCAATCAGAGGTCTGAGAGTCGGAAAGAAAGAAGTAAAACTATTCTTTATTGCAAATGATATAATTAAATACCATAAGTCCCCCCCAAAAAAATTCACAGAAAAACAGTTACTAAAAAATGAGAATTTAGAAAAGAATAGGTTTATAAGATCAACGTACGAAAATCCATAGCCTTTTAATAACTGATTTTCTTTCTGGATGTTCTATCCAACAGCTGACTTGAACAACACAATAGACCACATAGACACAAAGACCTAACAGATATATACTACTGAATAAACCTTATCCTCAAATGCACATGAAATATTCTCTAGGATAAATCATGTATTAGGTCACAAAACAAATCTTAACAAATTTAAGAAGATCAAAATCATTCCAAGTATCTTTCCCATCTAACATGGAATGAAACTAGAAATCAAAACACTAAGAAAATGAGAAAATTCACAAACATGTGGAAAGTAAATAACACATTTTTGAACGATTATTAGGTCAAAGAGGAAATTTTTAAAGAAGGAAATTTTAAAAGTATTTTGAGGGCTTCCCTGGTGGCACAGTGGTTAAGAATCCACCTGCCAATGCAGGGGACACAGGTTCGAGCCCTGGTCCGGGAAGATCCCACATTCTGTGGAGCAACTAAGCCCGTGCGCCACAACTACCGAGCCTGCGCTCTAGAGCCCGCAAGCCACAACTACTGAAGCCCACACGCTTAGAGTCCATGCTCCGCAACAAGAGAAGCCACCGCAATGAGAAACCCGCACACCACAACGAAGAGTAGCCCCCACTTGCTGCAACTAGAGAAAGCCCGCACGCAGCAACAAAGACCCAAACTCAGCCAAAAATAAATAAATAAATTTATTTTAAAAAAGTTTTTTGAGGGCTTCCCTGGTGGCGCAGTGGTTGAGAGTCCGCCTGCCGATGCAGGGGACACGGGTTCGTGCCCCGGTTCGGGAAGATCCCACATGCCATGGAGCGGCTGGGCCCGTGAGCCATGGCCACTGAGCCTGCGCGTCCGGAGCCTGTGCTCCGCAATGGGAGAGGCCACAACAGTGAGAGGCCCGCGTAATGCAAAAAAAAAAAAAAAGTTTTTTGAGATAAACAAAATTGAAACTATAACATGCCAAAACTTATGGGATGCAGCAAAAGCAGCACTAAGAGGGATGTTTACAGTGATAAACTCCTACATTAAAAAAGAGGAAAGACCTCAAATAAACAATATAACTTTACATCTCAAAAAACTAGAAAAAGAAGAACAAACTAAACCGAAAGCTAGTGAAAGGAAAGAGATAATAAAGATTAGCGCAGAAGTAAATCAAATAGAGAACAGGAAAATCAATAGGAAAAAAAACAGGAGTTGGTTTTATGAAAATATAAACAAAACCAACAAACCCTTAGCTAGGCTGGCAGAAAAAAAGAAGACTCAAATTTTACAAATTAGAAATGAAAGAAGAGCCATTATGACAGATGCCTCATAAATAAAAAAGATCATAATGGGTAACTTTTACCAAACATTCATAGAAGAATTTATACCAATTCTTCTTAAACTCTTCCAAAATAATAGAAGAGGGAGTGCTTCCAAACTCATTTTATGAGGTAGGCATCACCCTAATACCAAAGCCAGACAAAGATAAGAAAAGAAAGCCACAGGCCAATATCCCTGATGAACACAGATGCAAAAATCCTCAATAAAATACTAACAAACCAAATTTAATAACACATTAAAAAGTTCATATACCATGAACCAGTGGGATTTATCCCTGGGATGCAAAGATAGTTCTACATGTGCAAATCAATCAATGTGATACACCATATTAACAGAATGAAGGGTTAAAATCACATGATCATCTCAATCAATGCAGAAAAACATTTGACAAAGTTTAACATCCATTCGTGATAAAAACTCTCAACAAAATCAGTGTAGAAGAAACTTAACACAATAAGGCCACATATGAAAAGCCTACTTCTAACACAATAATCAATGGGGAAAAACTGAAAGCTTTTCCTCTAAGATTCAGTACAAAGCAAACATGCCCACTCTCATCTGTTGTTCAGCATAGTACTAGAAGTTGCAGCTAGAGCAATTAGACAAGAAAAAGAAATAAAAGGCATCTAAATTGGAAAGGAAGTAGTAAAATTAGTTCTCTTTGCAGATGACATGATCATATATGTAGAAAACTCTCAAGACTCAACAACAACCAAAAAACCTGTTAGAATTAGTAAATGAATTCAGTAAAGTTGCAGGATAAAAAAAATCTACAAAAATGAGTCACAATTGTATACAGAAAACAAATTATCCTAAAAGGAAGTTGAGAAAACAGTTCCATCACAAAAGCAAGAAAAATAATAAAATACTTAGAAATAAACTTAACCAAAGAGGTGAAAGACTGGTACACTAAAAATGATAAAACACTGATGAAGGAAATTAAAGAAAACATAGGAGAATGGAAAGACATCCTATGTTCATGGATTGGAAGAATATTGTTAAAATGTCTATTCTACCCAAAATGATCGATAGATTCCATGCAATCTCTATCAAAATCCCAAAGGCACTGTTTACAGAAATAGAAAAAAAAATCCTAAAATTAGCATGGAACAACAAAAGATACCAAATAGCCAAAACAATCTTGAACAAGAACAACAAAGCTGGGGGCAACACACGTTCTTATTTAAAAATACATTACAAAGCTACAGTAATCAAAACAGTATGGTACTGGCATAAAAATGGACATAAGGAAAAATGGAACAGAATAGAGAGCCCACAAATAAATCCATACACCTATGGTCAACTATTGACAAGATTACCAATGAGGAAAGGATAGTCTCTTGATTAAATGGTATACGGAAAACTGGATATGCACAAGCAGAAGAATGAATCACTTCACTGTACACCTGAAACTAACACATTGCAAATTAACTAAAATATTAAAAAAATGAATTTATTTTATTTATTTTTGGCTGCATTGGGTCTCCGTTGCTGTGCGTGGGCTTTCTCTAGTTGCGGCGAGCGGGGGCTACTCTTTGTTGTGGTGTGTGGACTTCTCATGTGGTGGCTTCTCTTGCTGCGGAGCACTGGCTCTATGCACACAGGCTCCAGTAGTTGTGGCTCGTGGGCTCTAGAGCACAGGCTCAGTAGTTGTGGTGCACGGGCTTAGCTGCTCCGCAGCATGTGGGATCTTCCCAGACCAGGGCTCAAACCTGTGTCCCCTGCTATGGCAGGTGGCTTCTTAACCACTGAGTCACCAGGGAAGCCCCCTATACTTCAATTTTTAAAGAATGGCTAAAAAAAAAGAAAAAAATAAACTCAAAATGGATTAAATTGGGCTTCTCTGGTGGCACAGTGGTTGAGAGTCCGCCTGCCGATGCAGGGGATACGGGTTCGTGCCCCGGTCCGGGAAGATCCCACATGCCGCGGAGCGGCTAGGCCCGTGAGCCATGGCTGCTGAGTCTGCGCATCCGGAGCCTGTGCTCCACAACGGGAGAGGCCACAACAGTGAGAGGCCCACGTACCACAAAAAAAAAA